AAAAAATTTGACAGTAAAAACCATCATTCTATCGAGAAGTATGGTCAACTGTGGCAACAAGAGCAGAGAGATGAAGTTATATCAAAACTAACATTTTTGATGAGTTGCTACACTGAATAATCTTATTTAAAAGTTTAATATTTATGTACTCAGTGATGTAATGTGGTCAGATTGATGAACATTGAGTTGCTGGAAAACTTTATTTTCCTTTTTCCTTGAAAAAAGGTTCCTTTGACATGGGCAAGTTATTTGGTAGTTGTGGTAGTTATTTCCTGAGACATCAGCAGATGTTTGGATCTCTCATCTTGCTCTCTGGTTTTTGGAAAGTTAATTTTGTATGTCCTTTAATGGGCAGTCAGGAAATAGCAAGACACTCTGCGGCCCTCAGTAAAGCCACAGCGCACACGCTGCTCATCTCCCTTTTCCCCTCAGCCTCTCTTGGGACAACCTGCACCAATGAAAACTCTGCCATCCTCCAGAGTCATAGGATGTCATCTTGAAAGTTTTGCATTAGCCCCTTGCTGCTGGTGGCTGCCTCTGAATCTGATCATCAACAGGTCTAGGGCCAGTAGCTAGACAGAAGAAGAATGTTAATACATTTTTCTTCCTCTTGTAAATATAAGGTTGAGTTGATTGATTCTTTTTTTGGTTTTCCTATTTTCTGGCTGAGCTTAGCACAGTTAGTCAGTGGAGCGAGAAAAGAGTGAATTATTTATTTATTTATTTTCACTGTGTTTTGCTGTTTATTTGATATACGCAGCAGGGGAAAACATGTCTGGAGGTGGCAGCAAGAGGAAACCATGTCATCCTGGTTGATATGATCATCAAAGCTGACCGTTTTTATAAACAGCAGAAGGTGAGTTTATCACTGGATGTGGATTTGCAATGACTCACCTAGAATAACTTAATTCAATAGAATAACACAAAACATAAAATGCTTTCTCTTCTTAGAGCTTAAGTTTTTCACAAAAACATTATTATCTCATGAGGACACTGTTATCTTTGATGTGTGATGACATGTCTGTGTAACTTCAAATGCTTTATACAGTATATGTAGATGCACATGGACTGTATACATATAATGAAAAAAGGCTCCCACTTCAGGATCACATGGACAATGATCAGGATTCCTGGGTGGGGAGGCCTCTGAGCTTCAAGCAGGACCACCAACCAGAGACACAGCACCTCCGATCTGTCGTGTGGACCCTGGCCACTAAGCACCTCTGCCGCGGGGAATGGAAGATTCTGGCTCAGCACTGGGGCTTTAGTGATGCACATATACGAGCGTTAGAACAACAGTGGACAGGTGAGCTATGCTTACTTCTTGATACACACATTAGATGTACTGAGCATCAGTTTTAACAGTTAGATCATTAAAAACCTTTGTGTCATGTTTTTCCTGTAAAGCCCGAGTCTTTTATAATACCTGAATCTGGCAGCTGTAAGATCAAACATGAGTGGTCATGTCTGCTCTTGAATATGGAGCTGGAGTGGATTCGATAAACTATCCTGATGGAATCCTGGCTCTCAATCCATAGTTTATGCACAGACATTTTTCATTTTTGTCTAATTCTCAGAAAAATAGGGAATGAGTGTTTTGTTTATATTGTATCCACACCAATACAGATGAATATATAACTTTGTTTATATATAAGTTCCTTAAACCCATAGTTTTGACTCCAGTAGGAGCAGCTTTGGGTTGTTGTCCTTGTAGTTGCACAAGTTACTAATACTGGTTGGTCTACTTGTAATTGTACATTTCAATCAAGATGGTTGATGCAATGTGTTGAAGAAATAGATAACACAATTAATTTGATTCACTTCAGGGGCCTCATTTTTAAAATAGTGCGTAGGATTTATACTGAAAGTCGCACAAAAGCTGAAAATGGCATTTGCCACAAAATATTCACATTTATAAAACCGTGCCCACCTGAAGACAAATTTCCCTTTATAAATCACACTCCCCCTGGAAAAGTGCGTACGTAACGTGCGTACGTAAATATGCCCCATATCCCGCCCCCTACACGCCCACATTCAATCATAAATGGTCAATGCAAAGCACCCCATGATTAATAAATGATCCTGCTTACCAACTGATTTCCATGATGAATCATGCCATCAAGCCATGAAATGAAGAAGCGCAACCTTCTGACCCAGACGTCAAGGTTAGTGAGGTGGAGGTGACGTGTAAGACAGATTGTTTGGCGGCCACAGCAGTAATGTCACTAATAAAAGAAAATGCATCGAGTGGTATCGTGTTGCCACTGTTAATGAAGTGAGTGACAGTGAATACGACTGCAGGATTATTAAATTCAGAGACGGCTGTAATTTCCCCAATCTATAAAATTTGACAGAAAAGTATATGCCCAAAGAGGGCTTTAAGTACAAAGGGAAAAATTATACAGTGTTATTTGTATCAAATACTGTACATACCTGTTTGCTAATGAACCCAGAGTGGTGAGTACTTGTGTTTGTACTAGGGTGGGTTCAGTTCTGTCGGTTGATCTGTGTAATACTGGACTCAGTTCAGCACAAGATCCAAGATCACAGCTCATAAGAATCTAAATCCGCTGACGAGTCAGTCTTCATCATGGGCCAGGAAATCTTCACAAGCACTCAACACTCTTTTCCATCTAATCCTTCTATCCACATACTCCTCCTTTAGTGCCAGTGCATCCATCATGCAGCATTACACGAGAGTCACTGCAGTATTAACAGCAATCGGACTGATAACTTCACACATGTGTATCACAGTTTGAAGGTGAGCACAGGGATTTTTTTTTGTTGTAATTTGCCTAGTCTTGCTATGTGCACCTGACAGTCATGTTCACTGTAGCGACTTTACACACACATGTGCGCGTGCTCACACAAACACTATATGAAAACTACAGTCTTGGTGATACAGTCGGAGTGTTATAGAAGATATTATTACAGATTTTTGTTCCTCACTTCTCTAACTGTTATCTTTTGCTTTTTTAATGTAATTTACTTTAAGTCGTTTTACATATTTTAATTGAAGGTTCTTAGGGAACAATTATTATGTCAAAATATGACATTTTGGTGCCACGATTATTCTCAGAGGAAATGTCACAGTTTCACGATATTCTACGATATATTATTGATACTATAGAAGGAAAAAGACACATAACTAGGGATGTCACGATATGAAATTTTGGTGGAGGAAATATCATGGTTTTCATGATTATCGATACTATAGAAGAAGAAAGAGTCACAATCAGCAATATACAGCTAATAGATAGCAAATAATATAGCTTATGAACTAAAATATGTATTATTGTCTTTATCCAGGTAGTTTTTAAAGTTTAACATTTATCTATTTAAATGTAATTTATATAAGCTATTTTATTTAGTTGCCTTATTGTGGAAGGTTGGCCACTAAATTTGTGTTTCCTGTCATAAGCTGTGTATCTGTGTGGGTGTTTTATTTTGAAGGGTCAGCAACGGAAGTTCTGTTATGGGAGTGAAAAATTAACTAACTTTGAAAAACTAAACATGTCCTGGTTCAAGCCTCATTCTTCTTGTCCTTATTATACTATTACCTTTCAGTACAGGTGAAATAAAATCCTGGCTACATTTATAATGGTTAATAGGAAGAGGGGGCGGTGTCATCCGCTGCTGACACTATCACACACACCGCTGGTCAGAAACCGAAAGTAAACCATGATTTCTCCTCTCACTGAACTCCTCTGATGGAGTTCAGCAGTCTGTAAGTTATGACAGATCTATTGGATGATGATTGTTTTTGTCACGGTTTGTTATGGATGGACCCGGAAGCAGACACAGAGTAACAGTTCAGTTTAAAGATGTGTTAGTTCACATACTGAATGAACAGGTCTAACCTGCTATAGTCCTATGTTCAAAGCTCAGACCTGAAGGTTGTACCAATTATGAATGTTCCCTGAGAAATCAAACAATGTGTGTTGTACTGAGTCTACCATCGAAAACTCCTTCCCTGTGAGTTTGGAAATACTTTATTATGCATTGTTTGTATCTCTTCCTGACGAAAAGCAATATGACTATGTTCAAAGACAACCGAAGCACACCTTGTGATGTTCTGGGACATTCAAAATGTACAACCTTTTAAATATACAAATGCAGTAACCTCCCTGATTCTGTCAGATAATTATTCACATTAATTTTTTCTTCTAACATATTGCTTTGTATTTTAATTCTGTAGGTATGAAAAGCTTCAAAGAGCATGGTCACCGCATGTTGTTAATCTGGCTTCATGGTGTTGGGGTGGCAGGGGAAAACCCAATCAAAGGCCTCTACGAGGGGCTGGTGGAGATGTCTCGTACAGACCTGGCAGGTGAGCCCTTCAAACAGTTTGTATTCTTCCTGTCCTTTAGTGCTATTAATTATTCAGAAATGTTATATTAGTGCCACTTAATGTGTGATTTAAACCAACTCCAAGTATAGACCAAGAACTATAAAGTAGCATTTTGACAGTTTTCTTCTGATCCAGTTCCTGTGTGTTACTGTCTGGGAGGTGGTGGTGGTTGTGGAGTGTGCAGGGGCATGATATCCTGTTTCCTTTGTTTTAATCATTCAGAGTGCATCAGACAGAAGGCAAACGCAGAGACCAGTGCTCCCAAAATGTGCTCTGCAATGTGATCAACACTTTTGAATTACTGTGAAGACAACACACCAGAACATACCAGAACACTAAAGCTTTTATCTAGCTGATAATACCCTGAACTGAGCTATTAAAAGCACTTTGTATTGAATGATAAATGGTCTGTATTTATATAGCACTTTTCTAGTCTTGATAACCAGCGCTTTACAGTACAGTTTTTCCATTTACCCATTCACAAACACAATCATAAAGTGCAGAACTTTCGCTATGATACATCACTCACAGACTGCACAGACTAGCACAGCCATCATGGGATAAGCAATTTGGGGTTCAGTGAGGGAGAAAAGGGGATCAAACCACCCACCTTCGGGTGGCCTCCTGAGCCACAGCTGCCCCATAGAATTAATATGCTATGATTTGTTTAAATATTCACACTCTTAAAGAATATATAATTGACACCGTGTGCAACCAGAAGACACAGATGAACTTATTTGAATGTGCGTTCAGACTGAACCTGTTTTTTTCTTGTTATACTCTCAACTCTACCACTGACTTAATTATTTGGTTCTGTGCGGAAGCCTGAACAGAGTAACTTAAAAACTGACTGGAGACAGAATACGTTTTATTTCAATAGTTCAATCCAAAGCATAAATGTCAAAAACATGTAAAGAAAACAAAATCAATACTTGGCTTAAATGGGGGAAACTTATGGTGAGCTTGAGACATGATCATGGCCATCAAGTGATGTCACACCTGAAACTAACTTGACACAGTGTGTCAACCTTTAAAAGCAGAAGTATTGTAGTAAAATGTTTTGGTTCCTTGTTTCAACTTGTCATAAATCATGTGACCCGTTTTTACAAGCGAGCTTTATTGAAAACAAATATAACTTAGTACAGGGATCATAGAACTTTCAAAAAAATTTTGACTGATGCTGAAACACCAACTGGTGCAGATGTGTTTTCTCCTCAGTTTGGGCTACCTTAAACACATTGGTGTATATTTGTCATCATTTGTGTCTTTGCAATGACTTCGTAAGCAATGATGAATGATGAATCTTTTACATTTGCTTCTTATTCAGTCTGAACATATATGAGTTAGTTGGTGGCAGTGGTTGGACAGAAACCATACACAGACCTACAAACTGTGGGGCACTAATGCAGAGAAAAGCAAATATAACCCTTTCATCTTACAGAAAGAGTGAAAAAATACAGTTGATTGGGTTAGAGTGAAGTATCTCTGGCCTGGAAAGAACCACAACTGTGCCTGATCTCTCACTTCGACTTCCTCATCCATCTTTTCCACCCACCTCTACTCTCTCCCCAATGTTTCTCCACTCACCCCAACCATTTGAGGCAGGTGGCTGCCCACACTGAGTCTGGTTCTGCTAGAGGTTTCTCCCTGTTAAAAGGGATTTTTTCTCTACACAACCGCAAAGTGCTTGCTTGTTGTGGGAACTGTTGATTTTCTATAGCATATTTAAAGGTCTTGACCTTACTATGTAAAGTGTGTGAATTGAATGAACAGTAAGAATAAAATCATATTGATTCTCTGTTTTACTCTTTAACGTGGTCAGGCTTCTTGCTACTTTACTGAACGCTGTGTACTAAAGGGACTCACTGATATTGTTTGTGGTACATGATTTCAAGCTAAAGGATGCTGTTGCACCTAAACAAAAGGTATCACTATTAAATAAATACATGTATTTTTATTTATCACCAAGCAGGGATGTTTTGTGGGTTTGCTTGTATATTTGTCAGCACGATTAACAAAAACTTCTGAATGGATTTCCACAAAACTTGGTGGAACGATGAGACATGGGCCAAAAAAGTAATCAATACATTTTAACATCTCGTGCGTTTTGCATGTGTGCATTTTGGTGTGAAGTTAATTACAGTTTTGTTGCAATTGTGTTACTGGCGACTCTGTGGATTATACATGTATTTCCATGTCTTATTAATGGCTTCATTCTCAAGTGAATTGGGTATAGAATAATTGCATAAAGTGTATAAATATTATTTCCTCCAAAGTACTTTGACAAAGTAATGACA